AGTACACATTCCCTATTATAATTACTACCATATTCTATACTCTTTTTAGCTCTGCTTTCATATATTATTTTTATGTTTATTGCTTTGAGGTGGTGTCGCCGAAGCCCCTGATGTGTCTTAGGTTTTCTCTTACAGTGTCCTGCGCAGACTTTATTTTTAGTGTATTTTTAATAAGGCCTATAGCAGATAATGAATAAGTTACGGATAGCAGTCAGTCTGTTGATCCATTCGATTTAATTCTTGCCTTTTGTTGTTTCTGCTTTTATGCTCCATAACCCAGTTATGTTTAACCTTTTAGATGGCAGTGATCATGTTTAACAAAACAACCTTGGAAGTCCCACAAAAACTAACATAGACCCTTGAAATTCATGAATCTATCCATACACATTAAAATAAAAAAGAGGGAGGTGAGATTTGTGCCTGCTTTTTCTAGTTTATTTATATCTTTGTGTATTCTTCAGTTTTTCTAAAATGGCAACGCACCATTTTGATGGTAACAGTAATAATAGCTGACATTAACAGAGCACTTACTATATGCCAAAGCAGTTGTAAGCACTTCTAGCGTACTTCAACCCCACAACCACAGTATGAGGTAAGTACTTCATGATCCTCCGATGGACATAGCCAAGCTACAAGAGTGTCCTGCTCTAAGAGAGACCCCAAAGCTTTGCAGCCGACAAGAGATTCTAATGCCTTTTAAAATACCCTTTGTATTTTGGATTGCTCTCCAGGCATATCTCCATTGTAGAACTTATAGCATTTCTGCATTCAGGCCACAGAGTGATTTTTGGAGGGTGGGAAGGTTAGTCATGCATTCTTGAAAATTGTGTTTTTTCAAAAATTGAATTATAAGGACAGGAGGGAGGGAAGCAGTTGAACTGCGCGAGAATACAAATGACGGTCACCACGTGCTTGTCTGACCTTCTCTGACCTCTAACGACTGTTCTAGCCCCTCCGTGTTAGGCAAGATGGGCCTGAGCTGCTGCTTAGACATGAATGATGAGAATTTGAATAAAATATTTTTTTTCTCAAAAATCATTGATTTTGCTTAAATAGTCTGTTTGGGGCCATTTAAAACCTTGATGGATTTTAGCTTTTATTGGCGTGAACAAAAATAAAGAGTTCACATCCTTATTGAGATAAATCAAAAAATTTACAGAGTTGAGAAACTATCCCAAGAGAATGAATCAGCTACCTTTGAAAGTGATGAAGCCTAAGTAACATTAGCCTTTCTAGAAGTTAATTTATTTTTTCATGTCTACTTTTTTATCACAAGGTGTGATTTGTCTTATTAATAGTCCCTTTCAAGTGGTTACTGCTAAATTCAGTTTTTAGTTACTGTAAATAGTTCCTAGAGTTGGGGAAAGGGCAACTGGGCATTTACAGATGAACATGCCTGTCCCCAAATGTTTCATTTTCTGATACAAGCCATGCCAATTTCCCCCAAAGCAAATATCACAAAAAAGGAATTTAATAGAATTACCTACTTGTAATAAAAAATATGCTAGCATATTAGGAGAAGGCAGGATTATAACCTAAAATGTGTAAGGTCCCCATTACTCCCACACCTGCCCACCACTGAAAACACCTGACTCCATTCTGTTATACCACTCATAGATGTGCCATTTGCACAGATGGGAAGAATTAACGTTCATTCTTGTTCTTACTGATTTCTTTTGTGCCAGCTCCGCCACGTGTTGAATTTTTTGTTTGTTTTTTAAAGTCAGAAATGCCTTCTTCAAATAGTAAAGCCCAACTTCCTAACAATGAAAAATAGTGCCCTTGTAGGGAAGATAAGTGCATACATCACACAATCACAGGGTACAGTGATCTGACACAGAGTGAAGGAGGTTTGCGTGTCAAGCATCTGGTCCAGTTCCTGCACCTAGCTGGTTCTGAACAAATGTTATCTCCTTTCCTCTCTCTCAATAAATCATGCATGAGCTGTCAGTATACCTGGGATCTAGCTAAATGGGGTACTATGGCAACAAACAAATCCTGCTTGTAATAATTCTTAAAAATCTGTAATAAAGTACATGGAATAATTCTACGGAATGTAAGTGATATTGATAAATTATTTTAACTTGATACTGGGTGCAATTAGTTATTTTCCGAATACGTACTGACCTCTGTCCTTTATGATCAGAAATGATGTAGAAATACTGATTCTGATTTTAACAAGAACATTTTCTCAGTTTCAGTACCTGTACACGATGTGATTCTAACTACTTAAAAACTTGCAATTTTTTCTTTCTTTATCTTTTTTTCTTTGCTTCTTGTCGAGAAAATTAAATAGATATAATTTTTCTTCTTATCCTAGCAATTTCCTACTCCAGCAGTCCATTTTCTTAAATGTAACAAAATTGTTGGAGACTTTCCATTTCTCTTAACTTTTGAGAACTTTGAGTTTCAGCAGATGCTTACAAAAGCTGGATTAGTTTATCCAGGCCTTGGATGTGACCTCTTCCTCGGCCAGGTGTCCAGTAAGCTGCTAGTTTCTCCCTTTTCTTATGAGGTCAGGCATTGGACTTTAGGGTATTTTGTGTCATCCTTTCATCTACTAAGCACACAGTAGAGCTGTATGAGATGCTGATCCCATAAGTGAATGCATGACCTGAGCACCTGTTTCCAGAAGCCCAGAGTGTCCTTTCCCCTGGCTTCCTGGACTATAGCTAAACTATCCTGAACTCCAGCAACCTCATTTTTATCCACAAACCTGTCTCCTAGCTGTGAGTGCTTCCAGAAACTGGACCACTGCAGTGACCGCTGCTCGGGTTGTTTTGAAAATGTAGGTAGAACAGGGAAGACATAACTTCCTGGATTTCAGAGGCGTCTCAGATCTTTATAGCGTCCTCTCTGGCCTGTTCGTATCTAATGGACAGAAGTTAACATATGTAGAAACCATCTAGCCTTAGATGATGCATAATGCAGACTAGAATACCTTTATAAAATAAGCCTCTTGTTCCACTGCAGAGACCAAATAGCAGGCTCAATGGCTCATGGAACTTTCTCTTATGAACCATCCTGTAATTCCTCAGGGTCTGTTCAGACCTTGTTTTAGTGCCTACGAAACAGATGCTAAATAGCATTGGTTCATGTTAAATATTTTGAATCAAAGTATTTGATGTAATATGGTTGTAATTGAGCGTGTTTCCTGATAGCTTTTGTGCATATGGACACGTATAATAATGTTTTGGCAAGAAAACTTGTTTTATTCTTCTTCATTACAGTCTTCATCCAGGGAAGTAAAGAGTGGTTGCTCACTCTTCCTTATCCACAAGTCCCTTCTTTAGACTCAGTGTAGAGGTGGCCTTGCCTCTTTTTGCTGCAGAGCCTCATCTATTAAATGGAGGTAATCCTTACTTTATAGGGTTGTTGTGAGATTAATGATTTAATACCTGCAAGAGTCTTAGAACAGCGGCTGGCTGATAGTAAGTGCTCAATTAACATTAGCTGCCATACTTCTTCTTATTACTGCTGTGTTGTTAGTACTGTTTTTATGGTTTTCTTATTTCAAAGGAAATCTCTGTCCCATAAAAATGATACTTATTTTCTTAAATATGTTGAGGATTAAAAGTGAATAAAAGCAGGGCAAATGCTTTAGTTATATAATCATATTAATTGTACTTAATAAGATGAGTTGAATTCTCATTTGCTCAGTGGCTGTCACATAGAACAGACTAATAAAAAGGAGTAACAATTTACTTTTCCTCAGAGTCATTTTGATCCCTAGAACAGCATGTCTTTTACTTGTCTAAATCCTGTGATAGAAACATTAGAGGGACGAATTTCAATTTCAGTGTTAAAAGTATCACTGTATTTTATTTTCTACATATTCATATTTTATGAGAGCGATCATAAAATACAGAATATTGGTTATAATAATACAACATGCTGCTTCATTTGTTTTCCAGTTACCTCTTCCTTATACTCAATATTCTTCTGACTGCAGGACCTCCTTTCCCCACCCCACCATATCAACCGTCTAGGGAAGGAACTTTGGGCAGGAATCTTAAATTTTGACCCAGGAAAAGTGCTTTACTTTATGCCTTATTTATAGTACAGTTTTATCCTGATTTTTCTGCCTTCCACTGTACAAAATTAGTTTGTCATTCTTTGTAATAATCAGTACCAGCCAGATTCTTTTACTGGAGTCCAAAGAAAGAGAAAATACATGTCTAGCTTAACTTGATTGAGACAGACAAATTTGAAAAAAAGCAATTATCCACAAACTAAAGATTTTCGTGGCAGTAAAAAGGAAGATTTCTGACAAAGGACAGAAATGATGTGCCCAGTTCTGGTAATAGTAACCTGTAAGGAGCTTAGGTTATTAACTGTGTAGCTGGTCTCATCATTGTGTTCCAAATGAAGAAATTAGGTAACTTAATGTGGGACGAAGACTGGATTAGAGCGTCCCAGAGTTGTCAGTGAAAGTGCATCTGTGACTTCATGGAAACCTGCCTCTTGGGATTGATGAGGCCTGTTTGAGTCGAGCAACCAATCTATGTTTAATGATTGACTCCTGAGGCCTTCTACCCTAGGGATATGGTATCACCTTGGAATATCTGCTTCCTTCCTTTCATCCTCCTTCCCACTCATTCTTCAGTGGTACGTTGCAAACACACAGACAAGATTAGAAAATAATATAACAGACACTAACGTACTTACCGCCTAGCATTATTAAATAATAATGCTCTGCCATATTTGCATTAGATCATTTTTAAAAACTAAGCCATTACAGATGTGGATGAGACTCTGTGTGTATCCTTTCATTTCCCTCCCTTCCTGATAAAGATGTAATCATTATCATGAATTTAGTGGTTTTTATTCTTAAGAATGTTTTCATAATTTTACTTTTATGTTTTTGCGTCGATTGACATCAGCATTATACAGTATTATGATTTAAATTTTTATGTAAATGGCATCACACTTCATGCATACTTTTGCAACCTGCTTTTTTGTTGTCGTTACTGTTGCGAATTTTGGATTTTATCCATTGTGGTGCACGCGTGTAGTTACGTAGTTTTATTCACTCATCTTTTTCCTGCCGTATGCTGTTTGGTTACGGATGTTACCATATTGTTTGTCCGTTCTTCTGTTGGCGTTCATTTGAATTATTTCCAATTTTTTCTTTTGTCAGCAATCCTGCAGTAAACATTCTTGCACAGACCTTCTGCACATGTGGGAGGGTTTCTAGGTTATGTACCTGAAGTGGAAAAGCTGATTTAAATTTCCAAAGTGGTGGTGATTCCCATCAGCAGTAAACAAGCATTTTCCTTTCTCCATATCTTTAACAACCTCCATATTATCAGATCTTATTTTTCCCAATCGGAGGAGGTAAAATGGTCTTATCGTAGGACGTTTTAATTTGCAGTTCCTTGATTACCCGTGAGTTTAGGCATCTTTTTGTAACTTTTCTAGCTCTTCAGGTTTTCCCTACTATAAATTTTCTGGTCATACAATTTGAATGTATTTCAAAATCATTTTCTTATTTGTTAAAGATAGGCAAAATTGTCTTATGGAAACAAATCCTGAGTTTTTACTATTATTTTTTAAAGCATTTACTCAGTGTAAATCATGTACATATTTTTTAAATGTCACTTTTTTTAAATCTCCAGTGACAAAGGTGAATCTAGGAGGGGAGAACCACCGAACTAGTAAATAGGTCCTTCACCCTGTCCCTTTGTTCCTGGGGTAGAAAACCTCACCAGGAAAGTGGGTGCTTTGCTTCTCCTTAATCTCTAGTATTTTCGTGGTTATTTGAGTGATGAGAAAGGTGCTGATATCATTTGCTGAAATCAGGAGTAGGCATTAGTAATGAGCCTGAAGACAGTGTACACAGCTTGGTTTTTATGAGAGAAGGCAGAAGACTGTGGTGGGGGCATACGGAAGTGGACCACTGATACAAGGGTGGTTATTGAATCTAAAGATCAATATACAGATTCAGTGAATTATGTCGCTACCCCTAAAATGGTAAAGATAGATAGTATTTGCTCGAGAAATTCCTCCTGTAATTTCCAGTCCTTAATACAGTCAAATACTTTTTCTATTAAGCTGGAGAGTCCTTTGCCTCATCTCTATCCCCAAAATTCCATGAGCAGAGAACTTTCAACATCATAGACAATGTATTCGTTTAAGTCTGTTTCTAAAAGTGATTCAACAAGGGACTCCTTTACCTGAGAAATAACCGTTTTTTCCTAAGCATTCAGTTGCCTTTTTCTAAACAGACTCCCTGTTAATATGTCAACGATGATGGTGCTCCACGTATTTGTTGTCTGTTGTTTCATTGAGTGTGTGGTTCACCTGATGCTCTATTTTCACATGCTTTTACTTGGGATGGAGCCACCTAATCATACCCTCCAGTAACAGGAGAAGCTGACTGTCCACCTAATGTCTGCGGAATGTCCCCAGCTCCCACTGGCTATAGGCGGGGTAGGACTCAGACTCCCTGCTGCCCACACTGGGACCTGACCTTCCTGAGGTGCGGAAGGATATCTGTGTCTGAATATCTCCCCTACGTCCTTTACGTCGTCATTTCACCTCCGGGTTTTGTGGTATATTATTCTATGAATGTTACCAGATCACCTATCAGTGCTCTAGTCAATAGTGAAGTTGTCTGGCATGTGAATTAATAAAACTTCTGTAGGGCCTGGGTTTTCAAGTCTTGACTCCCCAAAGCATTATTTTAAAATGAAATATTTCGTGTGTATTTTGGCTACCGACACGATTAGGCTAAAAAATCTTATCTGTATTGTCTGCCATTTTCTTGCTGTCCCCTTTCTGTAGGACTTCTGTAACACTGCTGTCTCCCTTCTGGAAGACTTTGACAACATAATGGTAACACCCCTGCTGTCATTCCTTTTCTTTCTTTTTTTTTTTTAAGTAAACTTTTATAGCATTACCCTTTGAACATCCAAATGAGAAGCGGGTTGCTCTTGTATAGCTGGTAATAATTATATTCTTCATTTCACCCTACACACTTGGTTTACGTTCGGGGCTGTGACGCGGAATCATGAATGCGTTGACCATGTCCTGTTTAATGGAATTTGTTTCTGAATTTTTTTTTTTCCCCTTTGATCGCCTCATGTTTGTCATCATATGTGTATGGTATGGAAACCAATAGACATTCCAGGCCTGGGCTCGGGAGCATAGACCAGTTCGTGCACCTTCATCTCTGTACTAATTTTGACTCCGTCTATTCCTGAGCTCTTGCTTCTTCCTGTGGTAATTTACATCATTAGTAGAGGAACGCATGGCATGCTAATTCATAGGCCAAACGCAAGATAATGAACACTGTTGCTATGAAACATACCCTTCTCATCACATCCCACTCGCTGGCTATTCCCAAATACGCGACAGAACGCCTCATCCCTATTTTCTTTCTGGTATGGAGAAGATATTTTTTTGAGCATAGGTCTTGTGCATGCATGTCATAAGACTTCACCTCTACTGCTTTGCCTGGGCTAGCTAAGAATGCATGTTTTGCGTTAAATTACTTATAGGTGTCTGTATCAGGTAGCCAACCCACAACATAAATCCAAGAAGCATTAGAATAAAAAAGAGCACACATCTCAGATGTGAATGTAAGTCAACTTGTTTCACTGCCAATTTAATGGGTAACATTTTTCTGTATGTTGTTGAAAATATTCTTAATTGCGTGTTCAACTTTTTGAAGTATTTAGGTTGATTATTAAATACTTGTTACATAGGTAGTTTCTCCATCAATTATTTCAACAAAAGAAAGCTTTAAACTTCTGACGAGACTCAATTTTTATATCAGTTTTTCTT